TTAGGAGTCCTTTGATTGCTATTAAACTAATTTTCTGATCACTGAGTTACTCTTCAGCCATGCCCAATATTTTTTAGTTTTATAAGTTACTATTTATTTCTCCCCAAATTTTCCTGTTCCAGGCTTTCCCTAGCAATCATCTTTGATTATTCTCAGTAAAAAGTATAGAAAACAAAGCAGTTAGATTGAGTCTGATATAAAGAAAATTCCTTTATGCAAACATGCAAGTGACTTTTTAATGTTTTAAACAATGATGGAATTATATATTTTATGATACATTTATTTATTTTTTTATTTTATGTGCATTGGTATTTTGCCATCATGTACGTCTGTATAAGGTTGTCATATTTGAGCTGGATTACAGAGTGTAATGAGCTGCCAGGTGGGTATTGGGATTTGAATGCAGGTCCTCTGGAAGAGCAGCCAGCGCCTTTAACCACTGAGCCATCTCTTGAGCCCCAAAACATTTATTTTTAAAGGTTTACTTTTATTTTTATTAATGGTATGTGTATCTGTATGTGTATGTACCATATGTATGTGTGTAGCCATTTGCATGAGAAGAGACCATTGGATCCCCCTGGACCTGGAGTTGCAGGTGGTCCTGAGCTACCTGGTGTGGGTCCTCAAGAAAAGCAGAAAGGGCTCTCAACCATTGAGTCACCTTTCTGGCCCCTGTGTGATACCTGATTCTAAGAGTAAAATTTCCAAGTATCTCTCTATATGTATACACACACACACACACACACACACACACACACACACACACACACACACAGAGAGAGAGAGAGAGAGAGAGAGAGAGAGAGAGAGAGAGAGAGAGAGAGAGAGAGAGAGAGAGAGGCAGATAGATAGATAATGGATAGATAGAAACTCTTTATATGTACTTTGGGTAATATTGTATTACTTTCTTAGACTTTTGATTCCTTCCTCTATTTCAATCAAATTAATTGTGCAATTCCTTCAAATTTATCATTTGAAGTCCCTATGGTCTAATTCTGATCTTTGTTCCTTAAATGGATAATCTTTCGTGAAATAATTTTTCCTGTCAAGATCCCAGATCAAGTTAATAAACTTTCCCCCACTGGCTTTGCTGGTAGATAGACTGTCCCCTCTCTGCCCCTTCTGGAGCTCATAGTCCTATATGTGCCCCAGCTTTGTAAGCTTGTGTGTGAGGTGAAGGTTTGCACAGTCTTACTTTCCAGCTCAAGCAGCTCCCAAGCCTTGTTTTATGATCTATCATCTTCCTTTAATTTGCAGAACTGACTAATGCCTCCCTACTCCCGCCTGCACCCCGAAAAGCTGTTAAAGTGCAGCAGTGGTTTCCTAATCCATTCTCTTGTCTCCTTGCTTTTAGCTCCTGAGGATTTTGTGTATGTCTTTGTGAATTTTGGCTGTGCATTTTAAACATGGCTCTTTGTGCTTTCCCCCAATACTTCCTGATGTTGTGTCAGAGGATTTTCTGTGTCTCTAATCTGTCCTGTGACTCAACATAAAAGTCCCACTGTTTCATCACTTAGCATCGGAACCCTCTGCGCGACTCATCCTTCTGACAGTCCCACTAGCCCTGGGAATAACATTTGCCACTGTGTTCTCTCTGATATGCTCGAGTATGCTAATTCAAGGCTGAGCCTTGTGTGGAGAGTGGTCTCCTTGTTTGTATTTCTGAGTTTGAGTGCATACTCCTAGTGCACAATGTCAAGGACACTTCTAGCACATAGTTTTTTCCTTTGCTCACATAACAGTGGCTCAAGGACATTCCTGGTTCAATTTCAAATCAGATGTTTATTTTACAATTTCATTAGAGGTAATGTGAGGTAATGGAAATAGCACTGGCTGGTGTGAAATGACTAAACTAGAGCTTGTACACTACTAAGTGTGACCTTCAATGAAAGCATCCTTCCTAATACTATTGTCTTAAAACTCTCAAGCTGTGTGTGTGTGTGTGTGTGTGTGTGTGTGAGAGAGAGAGAGAGAGAGAGAGAGAGAGAGAGAGAGAGAGAGAGAGAGAGAGAGAGGTGAAAATATGTAACTCATCTGAGATTTTCATCTAGCTATCAGAGCATGGAAATACTAAATCCTACTTTTAAATCTTTAAAACAATAATTTTAAAGTCATTCACAAAAATGGAGTCAAATGGCAACCCAGTGGAGTTTTTTTCTCATCTCAGGAAAAAGGAGTCTTTACATAGGTTGACTTAAAACTATTTAGGTAAGAAAATGGACTGGTGAAATTTCAATAGGAGTCTGTTAATTAGCCTAGTAGGTGTGGAGGTTACATGAAGGTCTGGAACTATCTGACCCAGAGCATAGGTGGAGGAATTAAATATAGTCCCCAGAGCTTGTAATTAAAGAACTAACTGTGGTGTCTCATTCTTTGCAATTCATTGTCACTCAGTACAGCCTCCATATCCTGTTTCCTCCTACTTTTATACTTGGCCTTAGTCACACAATCTAATGAAGGCCAGAAATGCTCAACAGAAGACACCAACGAGACTTAGAATCCTAGTTGCCTCATGAGCCAAGAGCCTCCTGCAGTAGTAATCACACACACACACACACACACACACACACACACACACACACACACACACACAGAGAGAGAGAGAGAGAGGGAGGGAGAGAGAGAGAGAGAGAGAGAGAGAGAGAGAGAGAGAGAGAGAGAGAGAGCATCCGAAGCCAGAGCACTCCTTTTAGTGGGAATGCTGGGAAGGACATTTGTTGCTCTTTTCCCTCTTGGCCTTGTAGTAACTTTAACATTTCAAAGGTGAGTCACTCTTTCCTTTTTCCCTTTCAAATTTTAGTAGGTCCATTTTGTACCAGTGATTAATGAGGTCATTTTTTTCTTTAATTTTCTTTAATAGCACTAAAAGACCTCAACGCCTGTGATATAATTTCCTCAAATAGCACTGGTAGCCTTTTCTAGACTCTCTCTCTCTCTCTTTCTCTCTCTGTGGGACTGGAGTTGTTCCTAGGGAAATGTACCTCCCATAGACTTCCAGTAGATGGCAGGTACAGTACTTTCAACATCTCACAATGTGAAAAAAAAATCCAACAGCTCAGTACATAAAAATAGATGTTACTGTGTTTTAGTCTCAAGTGCAGTGGAAAGGAGGGAGGAAAACTTGTGTTTATGGATCTAGCATCATATTATCATATAAGTATCTGCTTATTTTTGTCTTCTACTAAAAATACAAATGCAACAAATGAAAATATATCTTTATCAGGGAATGCCTGTAATTCCAGATTGCAAATTAAGCACTTAAATGTTGAATAATATAATCACCATGTTATAGGTGTTAATTAAAGTGCTTGGTGAACAAAGATACATTTAGCAATTTTTAAATATAAATTTTGGAGGATGAGAAACTATTGTTTTATGACAATTACTGTCTAATCGGCTTCCATTTACATTTTATTTATTCCTTTTTAAGCCAGACTCGTGGATGGCAGAAGTATAAATGCAGATACATACATGTGGAGATAGACATCACAATCATTCCTTTGTTTTCTATGAATAATTAATCCTATAATGATTCCTCCCACTTACTATAGATATGAATTTCTTCAATATACTTGGAAGGAAGTTTCTCTCTGTAAGCTCTGGTAAGAAACAAGGAAGCAGACCTCTGTTAGATAAAAAAATCAGAATGATTTTTTCCTACAGGAAGATGTTTGTTCTGAAGAAGGCCACTGTGAAAGCTGAAAAATATTGTGTCACCCATCCATATACACACTTTCATTAAAAATACATACAGTTTTTTTTTTTTTTTTTTTTTGGTTTTTCGAGACAGGGTTTCTCTGTGTAGCTTTGCGCCTTTCCTGGAACTCACTTGGTAGCCCAGGCTGGCCTCGAACTCACAGAGATCCGCCTGGCTCTGCCTCCCGATTGCTGGGATTAAAGGCGTGAGCCACCACCGCCCGGCAAAAATACATACAGTTTAATACATCTGAAATAGCCAGGGCTTTCAGACATGCCAGGCTGATGGACTGAGTTCATCCATTCATCCCTTCCCTTCAACTCTTACTCACCAAGTACATACCAATGTTGGGCATTATTTTTCTAAAGCACCAAGGACTTAATAATACATAAAACTTTTTTTTAAAAGAACCAAATCAACTTAGCTTACAATTTAAGGGGAAGTACAGACAAGAAGTAAAGAAAGTAATTAAACTATATAATATCACATTGGGGAAGATCAGAGAAAAATTCCAAAGTCCCATAGCTACAATTTTGATGGGACTTCAGTCATATACATCTTGTGTGTAAGCAACCTATGTGCAACATAAATGTGCTAAATTCATTGAGAAGACATGATATATGATGTAAGTATAGGGACATACTAATTATCCTCATTTCTTCACTACAGATCGATGTTTTGTGTGTTTATGTTTGTTTGTTTTGAAACTGGTTCTCTCTGTGTAGCCCTGGCTGTCCTGGAACTCGCTTTGTTGATCAGGCTGGCCTCAAACTCATAGAAGTGTGCCTGCCTTTGCCTCTTATGTGCAACGATTAAAGTTGTATACCACCCCACCTGGCCAGGTTGAATGTTTTACATTACCAAATTTTATCCTAACTCCTAAATATCAGGTAAAAAAAATTAATAGTTATTAAAATTAAAAAGAATGAACATTAAAAAGCATTTTTAGTTCGTCTAAAACAGAATTGTAATCATTTTTGTTTCCTTGGTATCTCTCTGAAGTCATTCCAGAATTTAAGAATATTGCTTCAATTCCATTTTGAAGTAATCTGCCTTTGGGGCTTTCTGTGTTTCCTATAGCAGAGGGCAAAGCCAGCCAGACTGAGCATGAAGGAAGAGCAACCAAACAGAACAAAAACTCAGCCGTGCAGCCGAGCTCGGCAGGTGCTAGAACAGAGCCTGGCTCACTCACTGCTCACGGTGTCTCCTATCCAACCCAGGCCTCTTCTTTCCCTGCTCCGTCTATCTCTCCCCTTCTTGTTCCATTCTTCTCCTGTTCATTCTGCTTCCTTCTCTCTTCTGCAGAGAGGCAGACCACACTCAGCGATTCTCTCATCCCACCCATTTCAGAAGGAGGCTCTCAAAGCTGTGAGTCAAGTTCTCTGCACTCTTATTTCAAAGTCTTCATTTGACAAGTCTAGACCCATCCCGTCCATCCAACAACAAGGAAGGAAAGGAATGGTCCCTTTTGTTTGTTTGTTTTGTTTTCTAGTGACTCTTGATAGTGGGAAGAAGAGACTCATGTGCTGGGAAATTATCTCCACGTGTCTCCATTATAACCAGGTAACACAGAATCTAGCCCGTGTCTAGTGTCTATTTAGGTAAGTAGATAAAGTAGTCCAACAGAGAATGCAGTTAATCCAACAGATCAGTTTTTTCCTTTATCCAGGTCTTCGGTCCCATGTGCTTGCTCATTTACCTGCTCAGTCAGGCACGTTACTCCTACTTCCTTGTAGCTACAGCCAAGGGGACTTCTAGAATCACATAGAGAGGTTGTGTTTTTAGAAAAGCCTTATATGAATGAAAAACCCTTCAGTTCCTCAAAGAATCCACCCTACATTTCCAATCACTCCCAATGAGCTCTGCTACTTAAAAATTGATGATGGTGGAAAGAATTCTGTTAACAGTGAAAATGCTACCAAGAATTTTCTACACTAATTAGAACTTGGGAATAGGTGAACTCTGTTCATTCAAACTCTCTCTTAAGACTGACACATCACACAGATAGACTAGGGTCACTGAAAAAAATGTAGAGAGTTCCTCACTAGCTGAAAAATATAATAGCTGCCTTAAAATATGCTCAAAAATGATAAAAAATAATGTTGCATAATCCTAATCGGTCTTAATAAAAACCCGGAGCCAGATATCAGGGTGAAAGTTGAAAGATCAGAGAAGCAGTGTAAGCCACTTCTTAACTCACCAATTCCTCAGCCTGTAAGAGCCTGAAAAGACCTGAGCTCCTGTCTCCTCCCACCTTATATTCCTTTCTCTGCCCAACTATATCACTTCCTGTTTTGACCTTCCTAGAACTGGGATTAAAGGTGTGTGATCCCAAGTGCTGGAGTTAAAGGTGTGTGCCACCTCTGCCCAGCTGTTTCTCTTTTAGGCTGGATTAATCTTGTGTATCCCAGTGTGGCCTTGAACTCAAAGAGATCCAGACAGATCTCTGCTTCTGCTTGCTGAGTGCAAACACTGCCTGACCTCTGTGGCTAACTCTGTAGCTAGCTCTGTTCTCTGATCTTTAGGCAAGCTTTTATTTCTTAGATTACAAGCAATACATCACCACAAAATAAAATTTATAGAAAGGTAAAACAGCAGTTTTTGAGTCAGATATGTGACAAATGAAGAACCGTGATACAGGTAAAGTATGACTGCGCTACTATAACAGCCAAGAGAAACAATTCATTGTTGAATTCATGAAGTTTCATTAAAGTAATATGGTGGGAAAGCCAAGGGTAAGATTGAGAAGTAGGAGAAGCTTATTATTTGGATAGTCTTGCAAAGGCTAGATATGGGGAAGCACAGAGCTCATTACGAAAGTAAGAACTGAAGAGGAACTGTATATCAACTTTTCTGGGTCATCCTCTTGGCTATCAACTGCCTGGAGTTTGGTTGCCTGAGGACTCTCTTCTTTATTTTGCTTTGTTCACAGTATCTCTCAGCTGGGTTCGCTGTCTGCATTCACAGACGAAGACATTTTCACTGGATCATGCTTAATGCTTTCATGAAGCCCTAAAGAGACTGAAGAGCTTTCTAGATCATCAAACGAATTGTGGATCCTATACTTCCAATTACTGGTATTGGCAAGTTAAGTCTTGTACACAAATGTGGAAGAAAAAAATGTCACCCATTGTCTTGCAAAATGTCTTCTAGGCCACAGTACACATGTGCTGTCTTCTCAAACCATGCTCTTCTACTCTGCAAAGTGTGCTTCTATTTTCTTATTATTCATTAGAAACCATCCAGAGTTAGTGAATTTTGTATTGTTTTTGAGGTCATAACCCCAAAATTGCACACACTATTGCCTTCTCATCAGGTCCTTCTTTGTTTTCCTAATTCCATTTTTTTTTCATGGTGCAATCTACACATACTTGTATGCTACAATCTATTTCCCCCATCTCCCTTTCTCTTCCACTCCCCTTCCCCCCCGTGTGTGTGTGTGTGTGTGTGTGTGTGTGTGTGTGTGTGTGTATGTGTGTGATTTGATATGGTAATGATATATTCCAGACCAGGTCAGGTTTTCCAGGCTCATTTCGTTTCAGTTACCGTCTAGTAACATAATTCATCATCACGGCTCCTGGAGTCCCATGCCATGACTGCCTATATGCAATCTATGTACACATTTGTGTGAAAATCCAACCAAGCATCACTTGCTTTTAAGCAATTGAAGAAAGCCTAATTTGCCAGAAGGTGGGAATAATTACCACATGACAAAAATCCCTAATCAATTAAAGAGCTTAGCATTAAAAGTTTCCAAAGCCATCAGTCAGACATTTACTATCTAAAATAGCAATCAGGAAAGAGTAATGACACTGCTTCCAGATGGTTAAAAATTAGAATAAGAATATCTCCCCCCAAAAGGTAGAGTAGTTACATTAGTGAAAAGTATGTAACACTCTCAGTAGCAGTGAAGCACTTTATAATTCAAATGCACAAATTTTATAGGTAAATTTGGACTTACCCCCACCCCACCACATACACACATACACACATACCCAAATGAGTAGTTGTTTAGGCACTGAAGTAATCTTTTTCATCGGTTCCCACTATTGTTATTGCAAACATATTGTCTTTGTAGCCTAGACATGACTTTAAAGGACCATCACAGTATTCAACAGTATGAGCATGATATTCAGATAATTTAGGGGGAGGGGAATTCTTTTTTAACTATTCTAGGGCTCCACCTGGAAGCAGACTTCCCACCTGTGATTGTTTACTCACCATTTACAACATGAGAAAACATCCAAGATCACCCTAGACAGACCCATTCTGCCAGATCTCCAGGAACCGGTGCACAGTTAACAGCCATCAAAGAGATGGAGCTGTGTCTCAGTGGTTACAATCCAGATGACCTTTAATAAGCTAATACATTTCTTTTGACCTATGGTTTCTTATTCTTAAGATGAAGAGCAAGGAAATTCTGCCAAAAATAAAATATAAATTAAAAAAAAACAAATCAAAGATTTTAAGGTATTTAAATGCTTAAAGAGTCTTTCATTTACAATATAGTTTTGCAAATTTTGATTCATATAGAACCTCTGGTTGGGGATTTAATGTATGCTGACCATGGGAGATTTTAAAGAGTCTTTGGCTGTGTACAGTAGTTAAGTCAATGTCATATGACTTGGTTTCCTATGGTGTCCAAAATGAAACATTTAGACTGTACAATAAACCATCAGGCTTTCAAAAATGTAAAGATGGATCATAATCAGTACATCATCCAAAATCACAGCTCCTCCTTTAGAAGTAAATGTTCCTGGGATACTGTGAGGACATTGAGATATCTTTTAACCTTACATTACCTTAAAAAGTCAAAATCTAACAATCACAACCAACCCTTTAGGAACAAAACCAATTATTTCATTTATTTGTTGCTATATAGGATGAAAAAAATCACTGTAAATATACAGATTTTCCACTTCTAGATACAATAAAGGTTTTGTGGAAATGTGTAACTTTGAAAATTAACCTAATTATGAATTGAAACTGGTAGATATGGTTCTTTTGCGTAGTGTAGAACCTTCTAGCAGTGGCTTGCTCTTTGGATATAGCATGTCGTGATCACTAGAGTTAGTACCAAAGTCCCCATGATTTTTAAGGGTCAAATGTCTTTGAGTAAGGTTTTGTACAATCAGTGACTAGTTTAGTAACATAGAGAATGAGCAAGTTTGTCTTGTTCTTTTTTTTTCTTTATTAAGATTTTTTTTATTCATTTTACATATCAACCACAGATCTCCCTCTCTTCCCTCCTCCGGCACCACCCCCCTCCCCAGCCTTCTACCCCTCAACCCATGCCCCATTCCCTCCTCTGAAAAGCTAAGGCCTCCCATGCTGAGCCAGCAAAGACTAGTACATCAGTTGAGGCAGGACCAAGTCCCTCCCTGCTGCATCAAGGATGAACGAGGTGTCCCACCATAGATAATGGACTCCAAAAAGCCAGTTAATGTAACAGGGATAGATCCTGATTCTACTGCCAGGAGGTTCCTTAAGCAGACCAAGCTACACAACTGTTGTTCTTGATTTTAGTGGAAGTGTTTCAGGTTTCTCTCCATTTAGGATGATGTTGACTATGGACTTGGTGTAAATTGCCTTTATTATGTTGAGGTTATGTCCCTTGTATTCCTAATCTGTCTAGGACTTTTTCATGAAAGGGAGTTGGATTTGCTAAAGACCTTTTCTGAATCTAATGAGATGATCATGTGGATTTTTTTCTTTCAGTTTGTTTATATGTTGGATTATATTTATTGACTTTTATATATTGAATTGCTCCTATATCTCTAGGATGAAGAGTACTTGATCGTGGTGGATAATCTTTTTGAGGTGTTCTTGGATTCGGCTTGCAAGTATTTTATTGACAAGTTTTTGCATCTTTATTCATAAGGGAAATTGTTCTATAATTTTTTGTTGGGTCTTTGTGTGGTTTGGTATGAGGATAATAGTAGCTTTTTAGTAAGAATTGGACAACATTCCTTTAGTTTCTATTTTGTGAAATTATTTGAGGATTATTGGCATTAATTCTTCTTTGAAGATCTGGTAGAATCTGCACTGAATTCATCTGGCCTTCTGTTATTTTTATTGGAACTTTCAATTACTGCTTCAACTTTACTAGGGATAATGGGAATATTTAAAGACTTATCTAGCCTTGATTTAACTTTGGGAGATCAAATATACCAAGAAATTAATCCATTTCTCTTTAGGCTTTCCAGTTTGGTAGAGTACAGTTTTTTTTATATATATATAAACACTTTATATATAAAGTACCCTCATGATTCTCAGAGTTTCCTCAGTGGCTGTTGTAATGTCTCCCTCTTCATTTTTAATTTGTTTAATTTGGATCCTCTCTCTCATATTTTTGGTAATTTGATTACGGGTTTGTCTATCTTGTTGATTTTCTCAAAGAACCAACTCTTCTTTTTATTGATTCTTTGTATTAGTTTTTGTTTGTTGTTTCTATTTCAGTGACATTAGACCTGAGTTTGATTATTTCTTGCCATCTACTTTTTTTAGTTTATTATTTCTTCTTGTTGTTTCAGAGCTTTCAAGTGTGTTGTTAGGTTACTAATATGAGACCTCTCCTCCTTCTTCTCCTTTGTAGGCACTTGGTGCTATGAACTTGCCTCTCAGACCTGTCTTCATTGTGTCCCAAATATTTGGATATGTTATGTTTTCATTTTCATTCAATTCTAAAATATTTTTAATTTTTTGATTTGTCTTGATTCATTTCTCATTCACTAATGAGTTCAATTTCCTTGAGTTTGTAAGCTTTCTGTTGTTTCTGTTATAGCTTTCCAGCTTTAATCCCTGGTGGTAAGATAGGATGCAGGGTGTTATTTAAATTCTTACATCTGTTGAGACTTGCTTTGTGTCCTAGTATGTGGTACTTTGGAGGAAGTTCCATGAGCTGCCGAGAATAAAGTATATTCTCTAGTGTTTGGGTAGAACATTCTATAGATGTCTGGTGGGGACATTTAATTTATATTGTTTTTTAACTCCAGAATTTCTCTGTTCAATTTTTGTCTTAATGACCTGCTTATCAGCAAGAATTGGGTGTTTAAGCCAATCACAATCACTGCATGAGAGTCAATGTGTGATTTTAGCTATAGGAGTTTGTTTTATGAACTTGGGTACCCTTATGTTTGGTGCATTGTTGCTGGATCCTAAGAGCTCCCTTGGGGAGGAAGGGATAAGGCGTAGCTTCAATGATACAGACACTGGGAGTCAGTTGAAGGCAAACAGCAGACTCGTTTATTCAATAACTGGAAAGGCCTTATTTTATTATAAGACCCAAACTATGTCCCAATCTGGTGGCATTGCATGGTTGTCTCTCATTGGCTGAGCACAATCAGGAACTCTGACAGTGATCAGGAACTCTAACAGCACCTGTTGCTAGGCCCTCAGGCAGACTCCAGGTTGGCTCATAAGGAAGTACATCATGTGCATGCCTGGGCAACTGGTTGGAGCCAATTTCCTCTTGCTACAGTACACAGATGTTAAGAATTACAATATCATCTTGATGGATTTTTCCTTTATTGGGTATGTAGTGTCCTTGCCCTGTTACTTCTGATTAGTTTTGGTTTGTTCTCTGTTTTTTTTTTTTTTTATCTTTTTTTTTTTTTTTTTTTTTTTTTGGTTTTTCGAGACAGGGTTTCTCTGTGTAGCTTTGCATCTTTCCTGGATCTCACGCTGTAGACCAGGCTGGCCTCGAACTCACAGAGATCTGCCTGCCTCTGCCTCCCGAGTGCTGGGATTAAAGGCGTGCGCCACCACCGCCCGGCTTGTTCTCTGTTTTATTCAGATATTAAACTGGCTTGCCTCTTGGGTCTATTTGCTTGGAATATCTTTTTCTGTCCTTTTACACTGAGGTGTTGTCTATCTTTGATGTTAAGGTATGTTTCTTGGATGCAGCAGAAAGATGGATCCTGTTTTCTGTAGTCTGCATCTTTTTTATTGGGGAATTGAGACTGTTAATATTGAGAGTTACTGATGAACAGTATTTATTGATTCCTGTTATTTTATTGCTATTGTGTGGGCGTTTTCACCTTCTTTTGATTTACTATCCTGGGGTTGTTTCTTCTTTGTGTTTTCTTGGGTGTGGTTAATTTCTTCAGACTGATTTCCTTCTAATGCCTTCTGTAGGGCTGGATTGGTAGATATTTGGTTTTATTATGAAATATTTTTCTTCTTCCATCTATTGTGATGTGTATAGTAATCTGGGCTGACATTTGTGATTTCTCAGAGTTTGTAGAATATCAGCACAGGCCCTACTGGTTTTCAGATTCTCTACTGAAAAGTCAGATATCATTCTAATGGGCCTGCTTTTATCTGCAACTTGGTCTTCCCTTGCAACTTTTATTATCCTTCTTTGCTGTATACACTTATTGTTTGATTATTATGCATCATGGGGAATTTCTTTTCTGATCCTGTCTATTTGGTATTCTGTATGCCTCTTATAACTTGATAGAAGTCTCTTCCCTTAAATTAGGGAAATTTTCTTCCATGATTTTGTTAAAAATATGTCCTGTGACTTTGACCTGGGTTTCTTCTCCTTCTTCTATCCCTATTATTCATATCATTTTTTTTTATTTTGTAGTGTCCTATATTTTCTGGATGTTTTGTGGCAGAATTTTTTAGGTTTAACATTTTCTCTGAACTATCATTTCTTCCTACTTGTCTTACTAACCTGAAATTCTCTCTTCTGTGTCTTGTAACCTGTTGGTGAGACTTACCTCTGAGATTTTTGTTTGACATTCTAAGTTTTTAATTTCCAATTTTATTTCATTTTGGATTTTCTTTAGTGATTCCATTACTTCTTTCTTGTCTTAAAATATTTTCATTATTTCATTCAACTGTATTTTCAGGGTCTTCATTATGGAATTCACTCATATCTTCTTTACGATTCTTGATCATTATTCATTATTGCTGTTTTGAAGTCCTTGTCTTGTACCTAAGTTAAATTGCTTTTCCAAGGTCCCATTTATAATAGTGCTACTAGCTTCTGCAAGAGGTGCATTGTTTTGGTTGTTCATGCTTGGCTTGGTTTTGTTTTGACTTTTGTTTATTATTGTTTTTGCTGGGACCTAGTCACCTGGAGTTATGATATTTTGGTGTTTCTTGCTGTTTCTTGACTTTGTTGGATGCATGTTCCATTCTTTGATTGCTGTTGCTAACTCTGGCTCCTAGGCAAGTGTGGTGGCTATGGAGTCCCTGGTAAAGAGAGCTTCTGTAAGTCAGCCAAATGGGTATTCACTAGGAGGAAAGAGTGGGAGGCAGAGTGGAAGATGGTTAGGGGGACTAGAGGGACACACTAAGAGGCAGAGTCTCTGGTAATGGAGGTAGGGTGGGGGGAGGGAGTCCTGCAGGCAGGCTGCTACAGGACTAACTGTAACTCTTGAGAGACCTGAATGGAGGGCAAGGAGGAAGTGAAAATTACCTATGTGCTTTCCAGTCTAGTGCGGCCACTGGGGGTCCCTGGTAGACAGTGTTTCTGTGGATTGACAGCTGACGCAAATGGATGGAGATGGGCTAGGAGGGAAAGCTGAGAAGGGTGGTAGTAAATATCTGGGAGGACCATGGGTCCACACTAAGAGGCCAGGTCCCCAGGGAAGCTAAGAAGCAGTTTAAAGATCTTATAACAGCTTTCTAGTTGGATTTTTTATTTTCTATTGTAATTTTTACGTGATTCACTGTGTTTCCTGATTTAAGGAACATGGTACAGTGTTGAAAGAAAAAGAAATTGTGAATGTCTTGTTTCAGAAATGAAAAACCTGATTCCTAGAGAGGGGAAATAAATTCAAGCATGAAGAGAATGTCCAGGCAGCAGTCTAGTTAACATTTTATAAGCATTTCTTGTGTGTTCCAATTATTGATACAATGTCTGATTTTCTTATCGAAATCTGCACCCCTGGAAGGTTCTTCTATTGGTTCTGTCAATGGTTGGTGCAGTAGCATCTTCCTCATAGAGAATACAGTGGCCAAAGTTTTCTACGTTTTGTCTCTGTTTTGAAACAAGGTCTCACTCTAGTCTTGAACTCTAGTCAGTCTTATCACCTTGGCCTCCTAAGTGCTAAGATAGCATGCCAGATACAGTTTTATTATTTTTCGTTTAGACTTAAAATCCTGTAATACACATATAGAAATGCACATGACATTCATGGGAAACCATAGTGCTCACCACAGAGGTTTCTTAAAAAGTGAAATCAACAAGGTTAAGGATTCTCTTCAACTACCTCCAAGTGCAACTTTTTTCTTCATCCTCCAAGGCACCATTAAAGCTTCATCAGTTAGTTTTGCTTATCTTTTGGAAATAATAAAAATCGACACACATTACATTTGATCTCTTTCAAGCAATCTTCTGCTTGTGAGGTTTATATTTACTAAAATTTATATACCCTATAGTTGATTAGCACCTAGGTTCTTTCCAATCTGAGAGTATTAAGAAAAATGTCTCTGTTTGGGGACACTTTTTTTTCCCCTAGGGTAAGCATATAGTTGTAAATTGCTTGTTATTAGTAGGTAATAGTAAGCAGTTTCCCTAGAATATAATGTGAATTGCTTTTGTTTTGCATCCTTATAGACACTTGCTTTTTCATTCATTGTTAGTTTTAATCATTCAAGTGGTGTGTAGTACTCTTTCAGTGCATTTAAAAAGAACTTTTGAAGTAATTGTATTCCCATTAGTTTTAAGAAATGCTACAGAGAGACCCTGTGTGCTGTTTGCCAGGTTTCTCTTAGTGGCAGCATCTTCTGGAGCTCTACAACTCTGACTGACACTAGTGCTGTCATGGAAAATAACATCTTGGTCATCAATAGGATCCACACATTGCTTATCTATGGCCACATCTGCTCTCTCCCCTTCACAATCACTTTGTTCTCCTCTGTGCATCTGCCAGTTCAAGAAAGCTATATAAATGGACCCAAGTCATTTAATGCTCTGAGCTTGGATGACTCTCCAGAGAATTATGCCAATGTACTCTTTTTATTAATGAATAGTACTTCAGGAAAATGATATAATACAACTTACAGGTTAAACATTCACCTGTGGAAGGAATTCGGCTTGTCACCTCCCCTCTTACTATTACAAATAATTCTTCTGTAAACATCTATATAGAAGTTTTTGTGTGAACATAAATAGTCTTTGCTTTGGGATAAATATTCAGGAACAGGTCATATTATAGCTGCATGTTTAATTGTTTAGAATAAACTGCCTATATTTTTTTCTAGAATAGTTATTTTACATTTTCAAGAACAGTGTTGTGAGTGATTCAGTTTCTCTGCTCCCTTTGGTTATTGTATAGTGGTAGCTCATTGTGGTTTAATTTGCATATTAGTCTTTCTTTCTCTTTTTTTTTTTTTTTTTTTTTTTTTTTTTTGGTTTTTCGAGACAGGGTTTCTCTGTGTAGCTTTGCGCCTTTCCTGGGACTCACTTGGTAGCCCAGGCTGGCCTCGAACTCACAGAGATCCGCCTGCCTCTGCCTCCCGAGTGCTGGGATTAAAGGCGTGCGCCACCACCGCCCGGCTTTCTTTCTCTTTTTTGACACAGTGTCTTATACAGGTCAGGATGGGTTTGAACTCCTTATGTACCTGAAGATGCTCTTGAACTTGTGATTCCCCCCTGCAACCACATACTGAGTGCTGGGATTACAGGTGTGTGCCATCATGCCTGGCTATATTATTTGCTTTTCTTGATGGTGGAGTTTTAGTCTTTTATATTCCTGTCCCTTGTTAAATATGTAGTTTGTAAATACCTTCCCCAGTCTTCTGTTTGTCTTTGTAAACTCTGAGTCTTTTCAGGGAAAACAGAAGTGGATGGGCACACGCTCATGCACACAGGGGCAGCATTAATTGGACTTGGTGTTGTTTCTAACAAAAAATAAATAAAAAGAGGCCATGAGGTGTAGCAAGAATCTTAAAGTCTTATTAATAAAATCAAACCTAAAGCCAGGTATTGGAGTGAATGCTGGAAGATCAGAGAGGCAGAACAAGCCACAGCCACCTCACCTCGCCAATTCCTCAGCTGATCCTGTTTCCTCAGACTGGATGCCTCTCAGCTGAACTGCTACTCAAAAGCCTAAAAGCTTAACCAACCTAGTTCCTGGTTTTCACCTTATATACCTTTCTGCTTTCTGCCATCACTTCCTGGGATTAAAGGCTTGAGTCACCATGCCTGGCTGTTTCCAGTGTGGCTTTGAACTCACAGAGTTATGGATGGATCTCTGCCTCCCAAGTGACAGGATTAAAGGCGTGTGTGTCACCATTTTCTGGCCTCTATATCTAGTGGCTGTTCTGTTCTCTGACCCCAGATAAGTTTATTAGGGTGCACAATATTTTGGGGAATACAATATTACCACAATGAGGTCAGAAAGAGTTGAAATAGGGCCTTAGTGGGGAGTTGGAGGGAGATAGTGTATAGATAGATATACATAGTATGCATTGTATAAATGTATGGAATTTAAAAAACCTACTGCTTTATGAAACATTTTTAGTTTTGCTTTTTTATATATTTTATAGTTTGTACATTA